ATTTGCTCCGCTTCTAAAATTGCTAGATTTTAAATGCATCCTGAAATTAATTTCCTTGCTTTGCATTACAGAGTGCCTTATGGGATTTTCAGAAGACTAGAGCATATATTGTGATAGCATCTATTTTACAGGGCATCTATTTGTCTTCAAACACTTGTCCTTCACAGCATATTCCACAAGTGATACTACCTGACAGGAACCCCACATCTAAGCTTACCCTTATATAGGCAACTTACAGCATGTACAATTACAACATGCACTGATGATCATTCTGTATCGCTTGCCAAGAAACTATAAACAGGCTTTAAAAGAGAGTATCAGTGATACTCTCACAGCTCCTTGTGTTAGCTGGCAGTCAGCTCTCTTTGCACCAGTCCCCACAAATAGTCTAAGAACCAAGGGAGACTGTAACTTCTCACCTACTGCTGCTCATTCCAGCACACCATGCATCCCTCCCTCCTCTTCCTCGTCATATCTAGTTCTACCACATAATTCTTTCAGATATGATCAGATGTTTTCCAATGTTTTTGATACCTGGAGAGTTCCACAGTGCAGTAGCCCAAAGAAGTATCTCCTGAACTCCTTATTAGCATACTTGGTGAGAAAAACAAGTAAATGTGCTACCCATGATACACATAAGTACAGAAAATGAAGTTAACATGACAGCAAAAAAACAAATTATGCAGCAAATTATTGGAACGCATAGTAAACTGTAATATTAAACTGTAGCTTAATAGAGAAGAATTGTACTGACATGATGAATTCAGAGCAATTTGAAATGAGGCACCAAGCTCAGAAAAGAAATGTCCAAGTACGTGGCTCAAGATCAGATCAGAGAGTATTTATACTAGAGTGAACTCAAAAACCGTATAACAACCAGCCTAATTTTAAGCTGCAGGAAAATCCTACTGTGTAAGATGCTTAAATTTAATATAAGAAAAGAATTTTTTTAATTAGTCAGGAATCCTGTGTACATAGCAATGAACTGATGTACTGTAAATGATGCAAGAAGGCTTTTCCATCTGCAGTGTCTATGAATCTACGTGTGGACCTGAAAGACGAAGTCTGTTTCCAGACTGAATTCTGTATGATTTCAGCGTACATGGCTTCCAGGCCAAACCTTCCAAAAACAGGTAGAGGATGGCAGATACTCCCAAACTCCACATGCAAACTCTGAACATTTTTTGCGTATTAAGGGTTCAAGAGTTTAACTGGGCTCTACTGTTCAAAACATGGGGAAAAAAAACAAACCCACACTATTTGGTAGAACTAGTTTATATTTGTGACATTACCAGGACCATAAAATGAAAAGAGAATTTGACCCTTTAGTTCTCCCCCTACTTACAGCCACCTGACTGGTGATATAGCAACATCACAGCTACCCTACTGGTCATATTCTTTTCTTCTCCTCTGCCTCTCTGTCACGACCACCACTTCCTCTAGCAGCATAATTGTAGTGTATCACCAGCTACAGGTCTCCTGCAGTTCATTTGTTCTGCTTGTAAAACTACTAGATTTGAACGTTCATCTTTTGCTGCTTCAATTAATGGAGTAAGAACACAGCGGGGTTTAAAACCAAAGTCAGCATCAGCTGATAAAGTACTACTGTGGTTCAAAGAAGTCATCACTCTTTGTGAATGGAACTTCTAACCAACTGTGATGGGTGACTTGCCGTGCATCTTCTGTCCACCCCAGAATCCTTGTGATGATAGACACCTGCCAGGGATCTGGAAGGCAGTTTACTATCTAACCAGAGACAGACAACAAATAAACTTACCTTTTTATATCTCCCACTCCTGGAAAATAAAGGTTTAATCTCCTATATAATGAAGGAACGGGCATGTTAATGACTTCATGTATTTTAAAACATTTCCCCGTGCTTAGGAAAAGAACTGAATTTTGACTGGTGTGCAACTGAAATCTGGAGATGTCAGCATCTCTTAAAGTTATAATGTATGACACTGATTTAGGGAGAACAGCTACATCTGTTGCCACTGTGTGCACTTCTCCCAGAACTCTCTAGAGTTCCCAAGCCATTCTTCTCCCTTCTTCCTTTGCAACAAATGTAAGCTGCAACTCATGAACTTTACTTCTGTGCTTTACAGAAATGTGAGCTCTCATATCAAAAATATGCTCAGTATTTCTGTCACCTTAATTAAACACGTACTTGACATATAGTCTTCTATTCACAAGTAGAATCAGTCTTCCTAGCATCTGAAAAAACCCCGATGATTTGTAGGCTGAACACTTTCCCTGAAGAAATTTAGATATATTCTCTAAACAAAGCTATTTGTCCGATTATAGCAATGGTAATTTAAGACTAAAACAAGGACAAGAAAACTGACTTTATTCCTCAGGATCTCATGGCAATCATAAAAATTCCAAATTTTGTCACCAAACTAAACTCAGACCTCTCTGTCCACATAAATACTGGACAATGAAATCCTCACTGCTTGTAGCCTATATAAAGAATAGCATATTGTGAAATCTTCCTTGAACTAGTAAATGCATAAAGCTACTTAAAGTAACAAACAATTGATATTGAAAAGAACGCTTCTGATTTCTTTTTCAGTTTTTCATCACTGAATATCTGGTCTACCTGGAATTGCTCCACTGGATCTAAACCTGGTATTATAAGCATTTATTTCCCATGCACATAACAACATATTGGGCAATAATTAAACTTAACAGGAGCTTTCTGCATGATGGTCACTTTTCAACAACAAATATTAAGAGTTAGATACTATTGATTTTCAGATAAATAACACTACAAGACTCTTGGTTCATATTTTGTTTCTGGAAAGATCTTGTCAGCCTGATACAAATGTCAAAATGACATCAGTCGTGAGATAAAAAGGAAGAAATCAACTACAAAAAGCTTTCTGTCCACCCCATTAGTATAATGTATGCCTGCAAATTCAGTGATCTTTTCAGCTACCAGCTATGCATGTGGCTTATCCAATTAACTGTTCTGCGTTCATTCACCATATTTTTCCTCATCCATCGGTTTTCATGCGTTGCATTCAATTAAATACTCTTTATTCATATATTGCATTTTTCACCAATTGGTATGCTGGGTAATCATTACACTTATTAATTCCAGGCAATAAAAGTTTTATACTGATTTCAGCATAATTTGTTCTGTTTGTTTCATTAAATACACCAAATCGTTCTGTCTGTATGCCCATCCATTTTGTTGTTCATGTTTCATTTTTTATCTGTTGCTTGCTGCTGCTGTTTGAATCTTGCTGCAAGGAAAGAAAACAAAATTTGAGACAGCTAAGGTGGTTTATTGTTTAGGACTATAAAGTTTGTAACATATCCACAAACATCTACTACCCACTTATCTGTTTCTGGGACTCAAACGAGAAAAAGGGAGCAAGATCAGCTTAGAATTTCATTCATCCCATTACCCAACTTGTTTGCAATATGTAATTCTGCACAATTAGACAATTTGAAGTTATTACTCTAAAAAAATATCAGAAAAACAAATTCCAGAGATATGACTTACTGGTACTCAATTGGCAGTTCTCGAAAACGGAACAGTACAAG